AAAAAAACCTCATTGAACTTCACACATCTGGGTAATTGTAACAGCCAAATCTTCTTCATTACATAAACTTTGAAAATACAACTGTTGATGGCTGTATAATATTCCAACAGGTGCATATTAAATAACCAGGAAAAACTGTAGTCTCCAGAAGTTGGGGAGACTGGGTGTTACTGAGAAGAGGACTGGGACCAGGGGAGCAGAAGATTTACTTTTCAGATATAATTTCACTGTAAAATTGCTTGGATTTTTTTCAGTATGATTCACCCAATTCACAAATACCAGTGAAGTGTCTCTGTTCATTGTCCCGTGTGTGTATTATTTTTTTCTCATTGTTCTCCCACTTCCCCATTTTCTTCTGCATTTAAAAAATTTTTTAATTGTGGTAAAATATGCATAACATAAAATTTACCATCTTAACCTATTTAAGCGTACATTTCAGAGGCATTAAGTACATTCCCAATGTTGTGCAACCATCACACCATCTGCCTCCAGAACACTTTCCATCTTGCAAAACTGAAACCCCGTGTGCATTAAACACTAACCCCCACCCCACTCCCCCCAGCCCCTGGCAACCACCCTTCTAGCTCTCTCTTAGGAATCTGACTGCGTGAGGCACCTCAAATAAGTGGAATCACACAGTATGTGTCTTTTTGTGACTGGCTTATTTCACTTAGCACAATGTCAGCAAGGTTCATTTGATTTTTTTTTTTTTACCATTAATCTTTTATTACTTTTCCAGTTAAAAAGACTAGTTACTTGTAAAAAAAAAATTACAATGTATATTTATACAGCTAAAGAAACAAGCAGGAGGGCGCCTGGGTGGCTCAGTTGTTAAGCGTCTGCCTCTGCTCAGGTCATGATCCCAGGGTCCTGGGATGGGGCCCCACATGGGGCTCCCTGCTAGGCGAGCCTGCTTCTCCCTCTTCCTCTGCCTGCCCCTCCCCCTGCTTGTGCTCTCTCTCTCTCTCTCTCTCTCTGTCAAATAAATAAATAAAATCTTAAAAAAAAAAAAAAGAAAGAAAGAAAAGCAGGAGTCAAAACTTTGTGTAAAATATCATCACAGCATTGTAAAAAAAAAATCACACACATTGGAACTCATCAGAAATGACTAGAAGTTTCTAGTGACGTAACTAACGATTTCTAGATGGGTTACACTTTATTTCCTACTTTTCTGTTTTTCATTATTCTAGAGTGAGCCTGATATGCTTATAATCAGGAAAAAGCAATGCCATCTAGGAAATAGGTGTGTCAACTTTGGAAAAATGTTTCATCCAAGTTTTCTCTGGAAACCCTGAGTTTACTAAGTTCTTCTACTGCTGTAAATTAAATATACTTGCTGTTATCAACCCATATGTCCTAATTCGAAGTTAGGAAAATCACATTTATTTTGGCCAACAAATGGCATTCAACAGTGTGAGATCAAAGAACAGGAGACTAATCAAAGAATGATTTTGGGGTGCCTGGGTGGCTCAGTCGTTAAGCATCTGCCTTCAGCTCAGGGCATGATCCCAGGGTCCTTTGTCTCTCTCTGTCAAATAAATAAATAAAATCTTAAAAAAAAAAAAAAAAAGAATGGTTTTTACCTGAGTCATCTGTCTGGCTCCTGGGCCATCCAGTCAAAAGTTTCCCACCTTGGAGTTACCTCATTGGGGGAGACTGGTGTATTCCCAGGGTGCTGGCTTGGGAGAACAGATTGTACATCCAGTAAAGTCACTTCCCAGTGAGCGCCTGGAATTGGTTATGGTGGAGGGATTTACACCAGGGAAATCGGCCAACACTACAAGTCAACCCCCTATCACCACCAGCAGGAGAGTCTGTGGTTGGACATTCACCAGCTTACCTGCTAGGCTGCATTCATCTCCTAGAGGGGTGAGTCATCCCTCTCCCTTCAGCCCCCTGGCTGCCCATTTCTCAGGGAACTGGCTGGTCATTTCCTGTGCTCCATTTTGCTTTCTGGGTTTGGGTCCGCCTTCCACATTCTGTGGTTCTTTGCCACTCAGAGATAACAAACTTCACCCTCCTAGTCTCGAGTCCAGAGAAAAGAGGCCGGTCTCCGGTCAAAAATAGACTCATTTGACAACTCTCCATTTTTCCACTTTCCTATCTCATCCTGCCAGCTTCTTCTTAGAACTTCGCCTGATTTCAGGAACTTTCCTGCTATAGCCTCTGCATGCCAGTTCTTTTCTTCTGGGCAGAAGGCAGAGGAGAGGTGGGAGGAGGTGGTGTTTTGGGAAGGCTTAGCAGGCTTTCTTTTCCAGAGAACAAGCCAGGTTGGTTTGGTTGTCCCTCTTCCTTGAGGTGCCAGCCTGTGGGTCCCAGGCCTCTCCACGGGGGTACAGGTAGGATGGTCATGCGCCTCTTTATATTTCTTGAAGTGCAGGGGTGCAGAGCTTACTGAGTAGCCAGGCTGCTACCCCAGCTGTTCCTGACTGGCCTGCTCTTTCCAAAGCCCCCAGGAGAATATCTCTAGGTTGAACAGAGAAGCAGGTTGTTGCTAAGAAACCTTTCAGCATTGCCTCTAGGGAGAGGACAGAAGAGAAGTAGCCGGGTGGAAATAATAGGTAGCTTGATGGCCTCAGAGACCCAGGCTGTAGGAGTGCTGGCTAGGGAGTCAGGTGGGAGCCCCATGCTGTCCCTCCCTCCAAGACTGAATAAGACAGCTGTGCCTCAGACCTGGGTTCAGATCAGCCCCCCCAACATTTCCCCTCGCCACTTGCTGTGTCCCTTGGCCTCTCTGAGCCATCTCTACATTCAGAATGATAATCCCTACCTCTCAGGGTTGTGTTGAGGAGTCAGTGAATTCATGTAGGTAAAGCACTTAACCCAGGGAAGTTCTCTCAATTCACCAGAGGTGAAAACAAAACAAAATAAAAACAGCCCTGTGTAGCAGCCTGAGCAGAGAGGTGTTTGAGCCTTATGTTTAATATGTGCTTGTGGGGTTTAGGATTAATATATGACTGTAGATTGGGGTTGATGCCTTAACAACACTTTGCCGAGTCCCTTCCTGCAAGTCAACTCACTCCGTCTTTCCAACAACCCGTGAGGCACAGATCATAGAACTAAGGCTCTGAAAGGTCCCTACCTTGTTAGGGACCCCACGGTGAACCCCCACCTCACTGGTCACTGGTGCTTTCTACTGTACTGTCCAGAGCAGCCCGAGGTGCTACTGAACATCAGGGCGGGGCAGTTCCTGACAGCTTCTGTCTCAGGGCTGGCCACAGCCTGTACCCAGACCAGAGAGGGTGGGTGTTTCCTGGGCCACACAGCTGTCCTTGGAGCCTTGCTCAGGGTCATGCCCATGTCTGCCGGCCCAGTGACCCCCAAAGCATCCAGACGGTAGTAGCCTTTGTATAAGTAGCGAAATAATTTTGTTTGGCACGTTTTGGTGTGGGACAGAGATGGGCTCTAGTCCTGGCTTTGCCACCAACCAGCTCAGTGACTCAGAGCTTACCCTCCTGGAGCTCTGGGTATGTCATTTATTCAGTGGGATCGCATGATTTCTTAGGTAAAAGGATTGTAGGGAGGGCTCAATGAGATTAAGTTTCCAAAGTGGCTTTGGAAAAAGGCCCCAGCCATGCAAACTATTCAGCATTGTAAACCATCCCGAAGGAAGTTGATCCTTCTGCGGGGTGGAGAACTGGTCATAAGCACCTTGCATTTGACTCAGCAAATATATCAGGAGGGCCTGTTCTGTGCAATTCCCCACCTGAGGTACCACCAGGGTCACAGAAAATTCCAGATCCTCAGCTGGAGACTTGCCAGCTATTGATTTGACTTCTATCTTGTTCGCTTCAGGTGGGGAATGTGAGGTAAGGAGTTTGTCAGAAAAGTTGAGGAGCTACAATATCAAAGCCAACGAACTCTCCTTTGTTTATTTAACAAATACATAGTAGGTGGTTATGAGGTGCCAGGCACTGAGGAAACAGGAAGAGGTCATGTAGGATAGAATTTACCTTCCACCTCAAGGTAAAAGATGAAACACCAAACTGCAGGGAAAGGAGGAAAACTGTCAGGAGCCAGCTGAAGAGTTAAATCATTTCGCAAAAGAGGGAAAAGGGAAGAACCGTGCAATTTTATGGCTCAGTTCATCAGGCAAAACACACTCTTTTTATTAGTTCCAAGAGGATTTCATCATGGAAGAAGTATTTCAATAAGGGGCCTTTGGGCAACAGAACAGATGATGTTTCTTAACAGCAATTTTTGGTTTTTGCCCCAATATTTTATGATGAACATTTTCAAACATACAGAAAAGTTGAAAGAAGGCAAACACCCTTAATTGCAATTTTTTTTTTTTTTTTAAAGGAAGTTCCACCTAGGGCCGTTTCAAGTATCAGCTTTTCCTGAGGATATGGTAACCTTGTTTTTCCTAGGACAGGATGGAGTGAGGATGTGGCAGGGAAGAGGGATGGCAGCTCTCTGGGAATCAGACTGGATGGGGTTGCCGTGAGGCGGGGCGCGGGGTACAGAAAGCTCTGAGAACCGAGTTCTGCTGACCCCTGGGTTCTCGATCTTGCTGTGTGGTCTCAGCTAGCTCACAGCCGCTTTTGGCTGGGGGTCTAAGGCATCATTTTCTCCTGCTCCAGACTTGCCTTCTTCGTCCTGCAAAGGGTAGAAGAAGACAGCCATGGCGGCCCTGGCGTCCGCCCTGAGCACGGGAAAGCACGGGAGAACCCTGCAAGAGCTAAGCTGGGACGCCGAGGGGACCCCGAATTCTGCGGCTTGGCAGCCCGCCCCTCCGGCTGGCCACGCGCCTCCGGGTGCTGCAGCCGGAGCGCCCGGGAGGGGAAGCAGCCGGCGAGCCGGGGCGGGGGTGCCGTCCGGCGGCAGCTGCAGGACTCTGCCCGGCCCAGCTGTCGCCGCGACTCCGGGCTGCCGTCCCGGGCCGAGTGGGCTCGGGAGGGACCGGCCTCCGCGCTCCACCCCCGGCCGGGCTGGACTCTGCTCCGCGCGCCCGGGCGCGCGCCCTTTGCATAAAGCCCTCCTCCCCGGCCAAGGTAGAGGAAGTCGGGCTCCCGCCTGGATGGGAGGCGGGAGGGAGTCCCGCTCCTGTTGTTTTCCGCGAGCGGGAGTGGGTGGCGGGCGCAGAGGGCGGGGTGCGCCCTCCCACCCCGGGCCGGGCGCTCCGGAGACAGAATCGCGCCGGGAGTCCGGCGCGGCTCCCACCCGCGGACCTCGGGCTCAGCCCAAGCATCCTTCCTGGGGGCTGCGGAGAGTCGGGCTCCTCTGTCGTTCCGACGACCTGGGAGGAGCGCTCAGTACCCCAGGGGCCGGGGCCCTGGGGAGGGGAGGGGCGCACGCCCACCCAGCCGGAGCCTGCGTTTCCTGAGGAGCCCCTGCCGGCGTCTGGGGTGAGATGGCCGCGGGCGTCCGGGCGTCCCCGCCGCAGGTCCTTGTCTGCCTCGGGGTGCTGCTGGCCCGCTGGGTCGCCGCAGGTAAGGGGCCGCGATCCGGAGGGAAAAGTTGAGTTTCGCCAGGCAAAGGGGAGAGCCAGGGACCCAATGCCCTCCGACTCCGCGGGAGCCGTTTGTAGCCGCGGCTCCGCAGCCTCCCCGGGAGGGTCTTGAGTTTCCTGCTCGCTCGCAGCTCGGCTCTCTTTGCAGGAAGGAATTTTCCCGGGCGCCTGATGGAGGGCAAGATAGCCCTAGTCGCTTGGAGTGGGCAGCCAGCGAGGCTGCAGAGGGCCTGCGGAGAGGGGATGGGAGAACTGGGGAATTTGAAGATGGGGAAATTGGAGAGGCACGTGTAGGGGAGAAAGTGGTTTTTGTTGTGGCTTTTTTGTTGGTTGGTTTTTTGCTTTTTGTTTTTTTAAGCGTCGGATGTAAATCTGCGTTCTGGTTTTACCTGCTGCGCTGGGGCTCAAACTCCAGGCTCCTTTATTTTTCTCTCCTTCCCCTGCCCAAGGTTGAACTCGCTTTATACTTGTAACCTGTGGATTTCCCTACACACCCCTTGCAAGCCGACCTGTTCGGACTAGCACGTTCAAAACCGTGCCTTCCGTCCTTCGCCTTAAAGAAACACAAAACAAAACCTTTTTATTTTGAAGTTATTTCAGACTTTCAGAAAATTTGCCCTTCCACTTGACATGACCTCTTCCACTTGACATCTTCCACTTGGCAGAAGGTCTTAAATGCTTCACCTGTGCTCTCCCTCCTAACAATTAGTTTACAGGGTTGCTTACAAAAATATATAGGATATAAAAATATTGAAAAAGCATTTTTGACTTTAATGCACCAGCGAATGTGTGTTTTGTGTGCAGGGCAGGGTGACGAGCAGTGAGAGCGAGGACTCAGGTAGAGGGAAAGGAGATGGGGCCAGCAGGTGGTGTACCTTGCCAGAATACTTGGAGTGTTATTTTCTGTGTTACCCATGCCCACACACACTGCTGATCGGTTCCTGCAGGAATTGCCCCCCCCCCCGAGCTTCCTAGCAGCAAGTGCCAAAAGTTCCTAACCCTTAGGCTCTCCTAAGATTTTTTGTTTTGTTTTTAGCAATCATTTAAAGGCAGTAACATTTCCCATAATCTAGGTTTCCAGTTTATCTGGAAAAATCTGATGATCTGGCAGCACAGGGCTTTTCCACCTGGAACTGAACAGCGGTGGCCCCCTTCTACCTAGGGCATGTGACCCCAAATTTGTTTTGCCTCTCCTGTTGTAGTACTTACCCCTGACCCTCTTCAGTTATGGACCGTACCTGCTGGCCCCTGCTGGTATTTGACTTAGTGAACACTATGCTACGGGGAGGCGGAGAGGACAGTCTCCGGCTTGCTCGCTCCAGAAGTTAAAGGTGATAGTTGCCGGGGCGCCTGGGTGGCTCAGTCGTTAAGCATCTGCCTTTGGCTCTGGGTGGCTCAGTCATTAAGCGTCTGCCTTCGGCTCAGGTCATGATCTCAGGGTCCTGGGATCAAGCCCCGCATTGGGCTCCCTGCTTAGCGGGGAGCCTGCTTCTCCCTCTCCCTCTACTGTTCTCCCTGCTTGTGCTTTCTCGCTCTCTCTGTCAAATAAATAAATAAAAACCTTTAAAAAAAAAAAAAGGTGATTGTTCCCTTCCCTCTGGCTGTCTGCAGTGTTTACTGCGCTGTGAACATCAATGGCCTTGGGACATCAGAACCCTGGGTGGAAGTCATCATTCTGGAATGAACCAGCTTTTAGCCCGGCTGCGGCTCACCACACAGGGACACTGCCTCCATGCCGTGCCCAGCCATTTTGATACCCAGGCCAAGTTCACCTTCGTGGGTAGTGCCAGGGGGCTTCCCCAGCTTGGTGTATTTTTTTTTTTTTTAAAAGATTTTATCTATTTATTTGACAGAGAGAGAGCACAAGTAGGCAGAGAGGCAGGCAGAGGGAGAGGGAGAAGCAGGCTCTCCGCTGAGCAGGGAGCCCGATGCGGGACTCGATCCCAGGACCCTGGGATCATGACCTGAGCTGAAGGCAGACGCTTAACCAACTGAGCCACCCAGGCGCCCCCAGCTTGGTGTATTTTTGTTGTTTGTTTTTCAAATTGGGAGTTATCTCAGGGGGAAAAAAAATTGTCATTTCACTCCTGACAATGTTCATGCCTGCACTGTCACCTCAGCTTATAAATCCCGGGTCATTCTTGGGAAAAAGGTTGGTAGGAAAAAAAATAAGTGTTTGGGTACAATCTCAACTCTGTGAATGATAATATGAGGGCAGCATTGGGAAATGGTTGTTTATATTGTTCCCTCCTTAGGTCCATATTCTGAATTTAAGGTAAGGGGGGAGGCATTCGCAGACCCTGTGGATACCATGTGGACAACTTCTAGTAACACAAACTGTTATGATGTCTTATTGTCTCATCCTGTCTGATCGGGAGACCAGAATAAATCCCTGAGATCCCAAGGATTAAAGACCTCAGTGGCAGTCCCAGATCTCCCAGCGACTTGAGGGGGACTTTAAGGAAATCACTTAAGCTTTCTGAACCTCAGTTTTCTCATCTGTGAAATGAGGGCGCACGGGATGCACCCTCAAGGACCGCCCCTGTGTGTCCATGTCAGACAGACGTCACTAACTGATGACCGTATTCTTTTCCACTGAGCCGGGGCTCTGCCTGCCTCATCTTGAACCCAGCCCCTCAGGACTGCCACATCTCAGGACGAAATGACCTCCAAGGTCACCTTTAGCTTCAGTGGCTAAAAAGAATGGAGTGAGCAAAGCCAGGAGGAGTGAAATGCCTTAAAATGGTTTCTTTTGTGATTGTGTCTTTCTACTCCTTGGAGGAGAAGACAATGTTAGCTCAAGTTCCAGAACTAGACTTCTGCCAGGGCTTTTCCAAGTTCTTTATTCATTTGCCAGGGAGCTGAGAAGGGGCAGGTCTGTAGGTCTCATGAACACACGCTGCATCTGTAATTCTACAGTTCATCTTCTCTCTTCTGTGGGCATTGCCACTGAGAACTTGGGTTCTCAGGCCTAATTGTTTAAAAATAATTCTCACCTGCTTTTCAAAGTGATTGTTCAGAAGCCTGTCTTGCTGTTTTGGAATCTCTAGCATTAGATGACATTGTCTGCCTTCCAGTGAGTGGCTTAGAGTTTTTTGGTTCTTTTTTTTTTTTTTTTTTTCCATGTTGTCCTGGGATTTGGGAGTGGTGTGGCCAAGATGAGGAGAGAGCTGGAAGGTCCCGTGGCTCCAGGCTGGCTTCCAGTCTTTCAAATGGAACCCCTTCCAACCAGACAAAAGGCCAAAGACGGATCACTGTTACTCTTTCCTTTATAATAGGGAAGGATTTTCAGAGGCAGATGGCAGTTTATTTATTTTTTTACTGCTTTATTGAGATATAATTTACATACCATAAAATTCACCCTTTTAAAGTATATAATTCGGTGGTTTTTAGTATATATTCACAAGATTGTACAACTGTCACCACTAATTCAGTCCGGAATATTTTCATCACTCCCCCCCGCAACAAAAAAGAGCGGTATGCTTGACTATTAGCAGTCACTCCTCACTACCTCCTTTGCCTCAGACAACCCACTTTCCCCAGCCCTAGACAACTGCTAATCTACTTTCTATTTCCACAGATTTGCCTATTTTGCACATTTCAGGTAAATGGAATCATACACTATGCAGTCTTTTAGGACTGCCTTGTTTCACTTACTATAATGTCAGGATTCATCCATGCTGTAGTATGCACTCCATTCCTTTTTATGGCCAAATAATATTCCCCCTGGATGGATATACCACATATTATTTATCCATTCATCAGCTAGTGGGCATTTGGGTTGTTTCCATCTTTTGGCAATAATGAATAATGCTGCTCTGAACGCACATGTAAAGTCTGTGTAGACATACGTTTTCATTTCTCCTGGATCTACACCTCGGAGTGGAATTGCTGAGTCATACCGTGACTTTAACCTTGTGAGGAAGTGCCACGCTGTTTTCCAAAGTAGCTGCCCCATTTAAAAATCCTACCAGCAACGTGTAAGGATTCCAGCTTCTCTGCATCTTTGCCAGTATTTGTTCATTTGCTATGGTCTTTGATTTTAGCCACTCTAGTGAGTATGAAGTAGTAGGTGTCCTCTTGTGGTTTTGATTTGCATTGCCCTGGTGACTAATGATGAGCATCTGCTCGTGTGCTTATCGGCCTTCTGTATATCTTTCTGGAGAAATGTCTATTCAGATCCTTAGCCCATTTTTAAATGGTATTATTTATCTTTTTATTGTTGAGTTGTGAGAGTTCTTCATATGTTCTGGATACAAACCCCTCATCAGATAGGTGATTTGCAAACATTTTTCTCACAGTCTGTTGGTTGTCTTCTCACTTTCTTGATGGTGTCTTTGGATGCACAAAAATTTTTATTTTGACAAAATCCAATTTAGCCATTTTTCTTTTCTCACTTGTGTTTTTGGGGTCCTGAGAAACCATCGCTTAACCCAAAGTGACAAAGATTTATTCTTTTTTTTCTAAGCATTTTATAGTTTTAGCTCTTACATTTAGATCTGTGGTCCATTTTGAGTTAATTTTTATATATGATGTGAGGTAAGGGGTCCAACCTCATTCTTTTGTACACAGATACCCAATTGTCCCTGTATGGTTGTCAAAGGCAACTTATTTTGTAATGAAACACCACTTTTTGCAAAACCCAGTGTATTCACATACTTTGAAAACTTCTGATGTGGTGGAACGAGAACATTTTGGAGGATAGCAAGAAATCTAGCTTCTGGTCCCACCCTGCTACTTTCTTACTGTAGGACTTGGAGTTAGCCCACTTTCCTTCTTGGCATCACACCTTTCTCATCTCCTGAGTGTGACAGCACGAGTAGAAGACTCCTTACAGGTTCTGCCGATTAGTCCTGGGCCTGTGGCCTCTTTGTATTTGGACACTGATTGTGCAGGGGGCTGGAAAGTTTTGACACTTCTCAGCAAATGGGCTGCATTTGCTTCTTGTTACCTGGTGACAGTCTGTGCCAGATCAGTCGCCCTTCACACCTGTCAGTCATGAGTAAGCATCAGAATCACCTGGAGGGCTTGTTAAAATGCAGCGCTACCTTCTGCCTCCACCCCTAGATAGGTGATTTATCTGATTTAAATGTTCTGGGGTGGGACCTGATCATTGGCACTTCTAAAAGCGGTGAGTCCACTGCTGCTTATCTGGGCTTTTGAACATGTTGTTCCCTCTGCTGGGAACCCCATCTTCCCGTCTACCTGGCTAATTCCTACCTGTCCATCATATCTCAGTGTGGCCTGCTGCAGGAAGCCTTCCCCGGCAGTCACCCCAGCTGGACTTGGGAGCCCCTTCTCTGAGGCCGTGTCATGATATTTATCACCCTGGATCATAATTGCTAGTTTATTGTCTGTTTTCCCCACTAGACTGTGAGATCCTGGAAGTCTCTCTCTGTTTTGCCCATCACTGGCTCCCCAGTGCCTAACACAGGGCATGCCCAAAGTTGGAGCGGCGAGAGCGCTTTGACTTCCAGGATCGTTTACACCTGAGATGGCGAGAGCCAGCAGTAGGAAGGTGGGAACAAAGCCCAGGCCCCCTTCCTTGCATCCCTTCTGGATTTCCAGGCAAATAAAACCACTTGGGTTCTGTATCGGTTATTTATTGCCACTTTAGTGCTGCATAACAATCACAAAATGGCCGTAAGTACTTATTATAGCTCAAGGGCTGGGGTCAGTCAGCTCTGCTGATCTTGCCCGGGCTCACCCTCGTGTCCGGGCGTCCACCCGGTGGCTGAGGGCTGCTCGGGAACGACCTCAGCTCAGACGATTGAGACACCTGGGCTCTGCACATGTAGCTTTCATCCTCCTCCCGGGACCTAACGTGGGCACGCCCTGCTCCAGGTGATGGCAGGAGGCGAGCGTGAGCAAGCCCAGTTATTACGCGCGCGCTGCGGAAGCCTCTGTGCGCATCCCGTTTGCTGACATCTCATTGGCCAGAGCAAGCCACGTGACCCCGCGGAGCGTCCGGGTCGTAGCGCAGAGCCGTCCCGCGGTGAAGGGCACGGATAGTGCGGGGAGGGGGGGGTTGGGGCTCTCTCTGCGATTGCCATTTACGTACGGCAGGTTCATTAACATCCGCAGAGTGTTTAAAAACACACACCTGATTTCTTTCTTTTTTTTTTTAATTTTTAATTTTTAATTTTTTTTTAAGATTTTATTTATTTATTTGAGAGAGAGAGAATGAGAGAGAGAGAACACCTGAGAGGAGATAGGGTCAGAGGACGAAGCAGACTCCCCGCCGAGCAGGGAGCCCGATGCGGGACTCGATCCCGGGACTCCAGGATCATGACCTGAGCCGAAGGCAGTCGCTTAACCAACTGAGCCACCCAGGCGCCCTGTTTGTTTGTTTTTTTAAAAGATTTTTTTTTTTTGACAGAGAGAGACACAGCCAGAGAGGGAACACAAGCAGGGGGAGTGGGAGAGGGAGAAGCAGGCTCCCCGCAGAGCAGGGAGCCTGATGTGGGACTCGATCCCAGGACCCTGGGATCATGACCTGAGCCGAAGGCAGTCGCTCAACCGACTGAGCCACCCAGGCGCCTTTTTAAAAGATTTTATTTTATTTATTTGAGAGAGAGAGAATGAGAGACAGAGAGCATGAGAGGGAGGAGGGTCAGAGGGAGAAGCAGGCTCCCTGCCGAGCAGGGAGCCCGATGCGGGACTCGATCCCGGGACTCCAGGATCATGACCTGAGCCGAAGGCAGTCGCTCAACCAACTGAGCCACCCAGGCGCCCTTATTTATCTTTCAATCCTAATGCAGAGGGACGGTGCACAAGGGAGGGTGTTCAGAGACGAAGAAATGTAGTAACAGCCTGACCTTTCCTCGCACAGGTTTGGAGGCTCTGGTCATTGGGCAGGTTCACGAGAACATTACTCTGCACTGTGGCAACGTCTCGGGACCAAGGGGCCCGGTAACCTGGTACCGGGATGACTCGGAGCCTGTCTTCCTCCTGTCCTACAATTCCAGCTTCCCGCCGGCTGAGCCGCGCTTCTCTCTGGCAGATGCCAGCTCGCTGCACATCACCGCGCTGAGGCCGCGGGATGAGGGCAACTACACCTGCCGGGAGGTCCTGAACGAGACCCGGCGGTTCCGAGTGTGGCTGCAGGTGGCTGGTAAGTGCGGTGGCAGGGCCCTGGGGCCGGCTGGCCAGGCGCTCGGAGCCCTGGGTGGGAGGAGGGCCTTGGAGGCATTCCCCGGTTTCATCCTGGGCTCTGCTACCTGCAAGCCCAGTGACCTCTCACATCTGGATGTTCTCATCTGTGAAACGGGGATGAAGAGAATTCTGGTGTCCTGGGATTGCTGTGACGACTGGATTCTGGTTTATGTAGATAAAGTGCTGTTAATGGCTCCTGGCGTATTAGTTAGCGATTGCTTCCAGCTTGTTAGCATCGTCCTTGCTGTTAATGCCATTTTATTATGCACCAGAGTCAGAGTATATAACATGGTGGAGTCGGACTGCCTGAGTTCCAGTCCTGAGGTTGTGTCACCTTGAGTAAGTAGCTGAAGATCTCAGAGCATTAGTTTTCCTTATTTGTTTTTTTTTAATATATATATATATTTTAAAGATTTTATTTATTTATTTGAGAGAGAGAATGAGATAGAGCATGAGAGGGGGGAGGGTCAGAGGGAGAAGCAGACTCCCTGCTGAGCAGGGAGCCCAATGCGGGACTTGATCCAGGGACTCCAGGATCATGACCTGAGCCGAAGGCAGTGGCTTAACCAACTGAGCCACCCAGGCGCCCAGTTTTCCTTATTTGTTAATTGGGGATAATACATTACAGACCTTGTAGGTGTAGTGCTCTTATGCTGTGGTGCTCACTACAGGGCGTGGCGTGAGCTACTATTACATTACATGCTACACTTTCCTCAAATAGTATCTTATCTGTGGATATACATGCATGAATTTAGAATGGGGGTTGGCGGTCGCCTGGGTGGCTCAGTCGGTTAAGCATCTGCCTTCAGCTCAGGTCATGATCCCAGGCTCCTGGGATCAAGTCCCGCATCGGGCTCCTTGCTCAGCGGGGAGCCTACTTCTCCCTCTGCCTGCTCCCCCTGCTTGCGTGCTCTCCCTCCCTCCCTCCCTCTCCTTCTCTCTGACAAATAAATAAATAAAATTAAAAAAAAAAAAGAATAGGGGTTGGCAAACTCTAGCCATATCTGTGGGCTAAATCTGGCCTGCAGGCTATGAATATTTTTTACATTTTTAAATGGTTGAAAAAAACTCCAAAGACAAATGATATTTGTGACATGTAAAGATGATATGAAATTCCAGTGCCTGTAAAGTAGGCTTTATTGGGACACAGCCACACTCATCCATTTACATCTGATCTCTGACTGCCTTTGGTGCTATCTTGGCAGAGTTGAGTGGCAATGATGCGGGTCATATGACCTGCAAAGCCTGAAATATTTACTCTATAGCCCTTTGCAAAGAAAGTGTGCTGTTTACTGGTTTAGACGGATATCCAGCTTCTAGATCCAGAGTGTGTTGTTTGGTAGAAATATACGCGTGATCCCTATTGCTTCCTGGTTTCCTCATCTGTAAAATAATTTACTTATTTCTTTATTCAACATATACGCATTGAAAGCCCAGTGCCGGGCACTGGTCGAGGCACTGAGCCACAGGAATGAATAGGACAGACCAGGCCCCTGCCTGCATGGAGCTCGCATGCTAGTGGGGGAAGACGGACAGTAAGCAAGTACATGAATGCATCAGGCAATACGAGAGTGATGAGGGCTCTGCAGAGAGTCGAGGTGGGGTCATTCTCTGAAACACTTTAAATTAGAGGGGGTTAGAGAGAGCCTTTTGGAGGAAGTGACATTTCAGCTGACTGATGAGTAAGAGCCAGTTCTGCAGAGATAAGAGTAATTCAGGAAGAACTATATCCAGTGCAAGATGAGTTGAGTGTGGTGTGTATGCAGATGGGGAGAAGCCTGGTGTGGTGGGAGCCCAGTGTATGAGAGGGTGGGACTTGTGTTATGGGTTGAATTTTATCCCCCCAAAATATTCAAGTCCTAACTCCTGGTATCTGAATGTGACGTTATTGGGAAATATGCAGACGTAATCAAGTTAAGATGAGGTCATTGGTGTGGGCCCTAATCCAAACTGACTGGCGTCCTCCTAAGAAGAGGAAAATACCTGTGAATTTGGAGACACACAAGGAGAATATTGTATAACAACAGAGGCAGAAAGTGGAGGGCTGCAGTTGGAAGCCAAGATATGCCAGGGACTGATGACCACCATCAGGAGCCAGGGAAGAAGCAAGGAAGGATTCTCCCCTGCCCTCCCGACACGTTGACTTCAGACTTCTGGCCTCCAGAACTGTGGGAGAATCCATGTCTGTTGTTTTAAGCCACCTCGTTTGTGGGACTTTGTAAAGGCAGCCTGAAGAAACTGACACACCTGGCAAGGAGTTGAGATTTTTGTTGTTGCTGCTGTGGGTGCCAGAGGAAACTCCTGGACCTTTAAGCATGGGTGTGGCATTATTTCAGTGACACACGCAGAATGTATGTGTGTGATCTCAGGAAGGACTGATAAAAATAGGGAAGTCAGTTGGAGGCACAAGATGTTGGTGGCCAGAACCAGGGTGGTGGCACTGGCTCTTGGTGAAAATGCACAGCTTCTGAAACAATTCTGGAGGCAGACCAGTAAGACATGCTGGTGGATTGGAAGTGGAGGATGAAGAAAAGCAAGGCTTCAAGGGCGCTTCTAGATTTTTGGATGGTCTCTAAGGTTTCTGCCAACTCTTAAGGCTTTTGGGATTTGGGAGTGCAGTGGTTTTGTGTTTGGAGATGCCACAGTTGAACTGCTGAATTGCCAAGAATGAATGTGGGTGTGTGAAAAATGTCACCCATCCTTGCCCAGCTCTGTTCAGTTCCTACTGTGAGCCCACGGGCAGCTCACTCCAGCTGCCAGTCATTAATAATTCCTCGTGGCAGTCTCCTCAATAAATGCCTTCTCTTTCGACCACAGAGTAAGATGGCATTACAACTTGTTGCTTTTTTTTTTAAATCATCATTCTCTCCAGTTTATGATGACTTTATCTGCCATTGATTAATCATTGGCTAAGTTTACTGGAGGGTGGATTAGTTTTATTATTGCCCTGTAGGGACATAAACGCAAGGCCTTTTTATGATGAACGTGAACTTGTAGCTTAAAAGAATCACTAAACTCAAATGGCTCCTTGGGGCTCCCTGAGTTACTGTGATGTGATTTGTATTATGGAAACTTCTTCATTTGGAAACCTACGGCGTCCTCGACTGGTGTAGGCTTGTTTGTAAAAACTAGATGCGGACCTAGTTTGGGCTGCTGTAACGGAAGTAACATAGGCTGGGTGGTTTCCACACAAACACTTCTGGCAGTTCTGGAAGCTGGGAGGTCCAAGATCAAGGTGCTGGCAGATCCAGTGTCTGGTGAGGCTCACTTCCTGGTTTGTAGATAGGTCTTCTCATTGTGTCCTCACTTGGTGGAGGGCAGAGAGAGAGAGAGGAAGGGGGGGTTTCTCTGGAAGAGAAGCAGGAAGGACTCTGCTCTCATGATCTCATCACCTCCTCCCAAAAGCCCCACCTCCAAATACCATCATATTGGGGATTAGGTTTCAACATGAATTTCGGAGGGGATACAAGCATTCAGTCCGTAGCACAGATATCCGCTGGTTTCCCATGCACCAGAGCCCTCCAGAATCTCAGGTCTTGCTCCCATTCTAGGACACACCCTGGCAAACACAGACCCCTCCGGGCATCAGGGAGCCCCTTACTGCTCCTCCTCAGACAGTGGCTGAAGGGGAGGCTTTGACATCTCAGATGGGACTCGGCCCTCATTTTGCAGGGAAGATTTTGGAATATGGATTAGGTTTGATCCGACCGCTATTTCTGGGAGGGGAGGGCCATGTTCTTGCTGAGTGGCTAAGAGCATACACTGAGGTCCAGCTGCCTGAGTTCAAATACAGGTTCTTCTGGCTGTTGTCCTTGTGACATTGGGGAAGTCCCTTGAACTCCCCTCACTTCAGTTTTATCATCTGTGAATTAGCGGTAACCGTGCAACCCAGGCACAGACTCAGTGCTCACGTTCACGAGATTAACGTGCATGGCCCTCAGCACAGAGCTGGGCACACGGTATGCACCTGCTTCACGTTACCTCGACCACCTGGTTAAACAGGTGATGGGATTCCTGTGGGAAAAGTGCATCTCAGGTTCCCAACAATCAGTTAACATCCAGGCCTTTTGAACAGGACCTTCTGCGTGTCCAGATCTTGCTTTTCCTGCCTTTTCACTGACATGGTTGATAACTTAGTCTCTTAAGGAGAAAAGTTTGGAAACGTTCGAACATGGCCTTGGAAGCAAGGGAAAAAAAATTCTGAGATGTGACGAGTTGTTATCTGTAAGTGACTTTGAGTGTGTGAGTGGATGGAGGTGCTGCAGAGACACAGAGCTGGCTGTAAATGGGCCAGTAACTTCTCCCTCCTTACCGTTTGGAATCTCTGCCTACTGATCAGGGGGCATTTGGTGTCTCTGCCTCCCGGGGAGTCAGGTTTCTCTGGGCTAGGAGGATTTAATATGCCTGGAATGGGCACTGCAATGTGATTTTGTTATTTGTCTCAGGACACAAGACTGAACTATATTGTTAATTTAATGGTGCAGTTGAAGAGTCTTGTCCTCCAGATTGGGACCACTGCCCCTGAGGATACAGAAATCCTTTAGTCCAGAGCAGTTCAGGGCTGCCAAGGCTACTTATTTCATTGACTTACCCATCCTCTTCTGCCTCCAAATTAGGGTGGGCAGGAGGTTAGAACTGCGGTGTGTTTACCTGCAGGAAGGCTGGAGGGATGGGCAAGGTAGCACAGACTTGAACACATTCCACTAGACTTTGTTCTTCTTTAGAGATATCAGCTCTTGTGCACTGGGGAGCTGAGTGAGCAGATGAACCTGTGGAGGCCCGCAGTCAGACTTCATGGTACGTGGTGCCGGACTCTCCCCGTGTCTGTTTTTCTCAGGCCACCCAAGTCCCCTGAGGGGACATTTGAGCTGGATGGCACATGGACTGTGAGGAAGCTGGTTTGTATCAACCTCCAAGAATCTCTTTGGAGTCAGCTGGGGCTTGGGGGATGGGGAGTGCTCCCGTCTAGTGAGTGATGAGGCCGTTACATCAGGAAAGGCCAGGAAGGGGCCTCAGAAAAGTCCCATGTTCCCTGACTAATTGGGTTCATCTATTTTCCCTCATTCTATGATGCTGATGTGCCTCCTCACAACCTAAGGTCCTGGGGAAAGAGTGTGTCAGGCACACTGAAGAAAGATTGTTGGTTCCCTTCAGAGAATGGAGGATCCTTGCCTGGAGATTGATTACCTTGAGTCTTGCCAAGTTCATCTGAAGCAGAGATGGGTGCTTATAAGAAGCGGAAGACCTCGGGGTTCCAGCTCTTTGGACGGAAACAGCAATCACTAGGGAAATTGGGAGGCAATGGGGTTGTTGCACGTGTCTCTATGTTCAGTCTCTAAAAGTGATATCAAAAAACTCTGTGAGATCCCCAAGGATCTTATCCCACTCTAGAACTATAGGTATGCCCACTGATGAGCAGAGACTACCTGGTACATTCTTAGGTCATTTTCAAATCAAAATGCTAGTATGAACAGCAAATGCCTGATGACAACTTTTCCTTTCGGCAGAGAACCCAAGACACGGAGATGAGAATCTCCCATTTTGTGGGTCCCTGAGTTGTAAGTCAACCCTTTGAGAGCCTTGACTGGCCAAACTATGTCCATGGAGGGGAAGGAAAGAAGTAACTTGTTCCTATGTCAAGAATGTCCGCAGAGAAGAGGACGGCAGTGGCACTGGTAGATTGTTCTAGAACAGGAATCCAACTTTTTCTGTAGAGGGCCAGATGGTAAATATTTTAGATGTTATGGCCCAACTGGTAAAGTCGAGGATGTTATATAAAAACTTATATAACAAGAGCGAAAACACATTTCTACTTTTTTTTTTAAAGATCTTATTTATTTTGAGAGAGAGCGTGAGAGCACAAGCAGGGGGAGAGGCAGAGGGAGAAGCAGACTCTTCGATGAGCAGGGAGCCCAAAACGGGGCTTGATCCCAGGACCCTGAGATCATGACCTGAGCCCAAGGCAGACACTTAACCGACTGAGCCACCCAGGCACCCCTATATCTGTTCTTTTCATTTCATAGGAAAGACAAGAGAGAATGAGAGCAATGGGCACTTGTCCAAGGTTGTCTCTCTCTAAGTGGCAGTAGGATTTACACCAAGGTCTGTGAATTCAGAGTACAAGCTCATGACCACTAGGCTAAGGCATCCATCCAAGAAAGAGCTGAGAATTCAAACTACAATAACCAAGGCCTCAGACCTCAAACCTTTGTAACCACTCTATATTTTTATTTATTTGCTCTTTTATTTTTGTCTCCTCTCCCATCTGTCTCTCTGAGTGATTGCCACCGTCACCCTGCAAGCAAAAAAGGGCCGGTGGGCTTCTCTTTGGGAATATATATCACGTGGGTGGAGAGAGCAGTGGAAAGGAAGGAAATGGGTACCTCCTTCTGGTAGTAAAGTCAGAGCAGGGGAGGAAGCCCAGGGAATCAAGAAGATGGCATCAGCTTTAATTAAGAAAGCAGACCCAACCCAAGGGATTTATGTGAGCTGTAACCTCTGAATGCTTAATTCAGGAGGCTTTTAAGGTTCTCTCATTTCATTTATTTTTCTAATCCTCCCACCTGTTTCTTCTCATCCATTCCCTGTATCCAACGCTGTTTTCTTGCTGAGAATTGTGTGGTCAAAAGCCCCTCCCAGCCAGGTTCTGGGGGTCCACACAGTCCATGCCAGGCCACCGTGGCCCTGCAGACCACAATTCACAAGACCCAGGCTGTCTAATCTAACGCGCTGCCTTTGCCGGCCCGGGTTTTGACTCTTAGTACTACAGAGATGCCCCCTGCTTCATTGGATGCCTGCCTACTGTGGGCACGCCCTATTACCTGCTGGTCTGCATACCTAACCAGCTAGCCAGCAACAGTAAATGGTACCTCCCAAACTAATGGCATAATTTTTTCCACAGACCCTCTATGGGAGGTGACATGATTCCAGCAGATCCATGCAACGATTAGGAGCCAGCCCCAACGTGAGAAGCATATTGTCAAGAATATTGTCCGGGAAATCCACCATTTCTATAGTTATACAATGGCCTCAGACATAGGTGAAGTAGATGCTGTACTTTGAGGGGCTCTGGGAGAGCCTTTTCCTTCCTGGAATAATTTTTCCCACCAGCCTATTTCTGTTTAAATTCTTTTGGTCAAGCATTGCCCTTCCTGGATTCTTCTTTTTAAAAGGGGAAGTCTCAGGGTGCCTGGGTGGCTCATAGGTTAAGCATCTGCCTTCGGCTTAGGTTATGATCTCGGGGTCCTGGGATTGAGCCCCACTTTGGGCTCCCTGCTCAGCAGGGAGTCTGCCTCGCCCTCTTCCTCTGCTACTCCCCCCTGCTCATTCTCTCTCTCTCAAATAAATAAAATCTTAAAAAAAATAAAAGGGGGAGTCTCTGGGTGAGGTAACACACTCAATGGCTTTAGTCTAAATAGATATTAGTTATATTCCTTTCATCAAAAGAGATGCGGCATCTTGGGTGCACTGGGTACCAGCCGTGGGAGGTCATTTCTGGAGATGAGAAAGAAGTTCAGAAATGTCAGGGGGACGCAGATAAGATCCAGCACTTAACAAGTGCTTCCAACGTGACCAACGTTGTTCTGAATGCTGTACCATACTCACTGAATTATCACCATAGCCCCCTGCGGCAGGTTCTAGCATGGCCCCCATTTTACAGATGTGGAAATGGAGGCTCAGAGAGGTTAAGTAATCTGCCCAAGGTCACACAGCTAGTGAGTGGAGTCCCGAGTTGGGCCTGGAGCCAATGTATCTTGTCTTTCAGTGTGAAATTGTGCTAGGACTCTCCAAGCCCACCCTGAGGCTCAGTGATTCTCTAGGAGAAGTCCTAGGACTCGGCAAGTAATTTGATTTATCACAGCGAGAGGCTACAAAGCAAAATCAGCAAAGGGAAAAGGCACATGGGGTTAAGTCCAAGGAAAACCAGGAGTGAGCCTCCAAGAGTCCTTTCCCAGGGGCGTCACATGGGACACGCTTAATTCCTCTGGAACAAGTTGTGGCGACACGTGTGAAATGTTGTCTGCTGGGAAGCCCCTTAGACACCCAGCACCCTGGATTTTCACTGGGGGCTAGTCACATAGGCACCCTCTGCCGAGCACATACCAAAATTCCAGACTCCTGGAGGGGAAGCAGGTGCTCGGCTTAAACCACACTGTTTGTACAAACGGTTCAGGCCCAGTGAGCCTCGATCTCGTCAGCTCTGGGAATGGCAGAAACCCTCCTGAAATCCACGCTGTGGTCACCAGCCAAGGCCAACCTTGCAAGCGGGTCTGCTGTGTTCACTCTGTTAATGCACAGGTAGCCGATCCACTCACCAGCGTGTCTGAAAAGGAGTGATTTGCTTTTTTCCCTTTTCTAGAAGGCTTGAGCCCCCCACCCCCAATCAATCCACATTTATCTCAGGATTAGAATGCATAGGGGCACTTGGCATAGCATTTATCACATAATAAGTGTTTGACAGATATTGTCATCCTCACTGGCTGCTTCCTGCTCATTTCTGTGTCTGTTCGATCTGGTAAGGAGCTCAAGTTAACTCGTAAGGGATTAATGCTTTCTCCATTCCCCCTGTCATTCCCAGGCGGCCCCTGTGAGGTTGAGGTCAATATCTCCAGCACCGGCAAGCTCCCCAATGGCACCGTCTATGCGGCCAAGGGCTCCCAGGTGGACTTCAGCTGCAGCAGTAGCTCCTGGCCTCCCCCAATGGTTGAATGGCAGTTTCGGGCCCCAGATTCCAGCACCGAGCCCTTTGGAAACAACCTGACAGTCAGCTACTTCACTCTGCTGCTGATGTCACAAAACCTCCAAGGAAACTACACCTGTTTGGCCACGAACATGCGCACTGGGAGACGGCGAAAGGTGACCACCGAGCTCCTGGTCTACTGTGCGTAAGAAGCGCTCCCCTCCCCCCTCCCCCCTCCCCCCTCCCCCGCGCCCTCACCTTGACCCTTCGTGAACTGCATGTTTGTGCCTCTTCCTTTTGTCTACAAAGGCATGCCTGCTTCACGGGTCCTAACGTGCTTCTGCGGCTCTCTCAACACACACGTACACACCAGGCACTGTGTGTCAGAGAGGGAGTCGCTGCTAGAAGCTTGCTGCTAAACAGGGTTACAGGAGAGTCCCTGTGAGCCACAGAAGGAAATTAATGCCAAGCCTCATGCTTGCTTGTTTTGTTTTTTTTTTTAATTGAGGTGAAAGTACAGAACAACCATTTTCAACCTTACGACTCAGTGGCATTTGGTACGTTCACGGTGTTGTGCAACCACTGCCTCTGTCTAGTTCCAGAACATTCTCATCACCCCAAATGGAAATCCCGTTGCCACTGAGCAGTGACTCCCTCTTCTCTTCATGGCTCCCTGGCAACTGCCAGTCTGTGTTCTGCCTGTCTGCTTTTGCCTCTTCTGGATGTGTCGGGTCAATGGACTCATGAAACACGTGGCTTGTGTGACCGGCTTCTTTCACTTAGCATCATGTTTTCAAGGCTCATCCATGTTGGAGCAGGTGTGAACACTTCATTCCTTTGTATGATTGAGTTAATATTCCATTGCAGGGAAAGACCACAGTTTGTTTATCTGTTCGGCCATCCTCATTCTGTCCATGAACTTGGGCCCTCTCGCACTGCTAGGAATCAGCAGTCCACAGACCTTTATTCTGGGGGTGAGGACACAGCAGATTCCTTGGATGAAAACCACTGTAGACATGTGGAGTGTGCTCATAATCCATGCAAATGAAAGGAAGCTTCAGAACAACAAATTAGTGAACGGGATAATAACACCTTTCTTAATTCATACGTTATTCGGAGCCTTTATAAGTCTCTGTGTTCTGTGTCATAAATGACATTTATTATTTATGAAGTCATAGGTGCTTGTTAGAGGAAACAGATGAGCGTAAAGAAGAAAAGAATATTCTAACCATCATTTTGGTGTAGTATCAATAATTTATCTTGTAGATGACATGTATCTACCCATCCATGTAAGATCCAAACTTATTTCTATTTATGCATGTTATATAAAATATATAAAACATACATATATAATACATAATACAATATACATATATATCCATAATATATGTCTGTACATATACAATATACATATATACATACAATATACATAATATATATGTATAAATGTGTAATGTATGTATAACATACATATATGTATAATATATACATATATAATATATACATATATACATATGTATAATGGAGGCGCCTGGGTGGCTCAGTCATTAGGGGTCTGCCTTCGGCTCAGGTCGTGGTCCTGGGGTCCTGGGATCGAGCCCCGCATCTGGCTTCCTGCACAGCAGGAAGCCTGCTCTCTCTCTACCACTCCTCCTGCTTGTGTTCCCTCTCTCACTGTGTCTCTCTCTGTCAAATAAATAAATAAAATCTTAAAAAAAAAAGTATAATGTATATACATATAAAGTATTCAATATATGTATATATACATATTATACATCTATAATGTGTGTGGATTTTCATATATAGTTATTAACACATGAGTTACATTGGATTTCCAGGTTTGTAACTTGTTAAATTTTTATGTGTTTTTAGTAATACATGTACATAATAAAAAGGAAGTATATATTAAGGGTGGGGATGAATTCCACCTGTACCTCCCCCTGGGGACCAGCACCGTCCAGTAGAACGTTTTATGAAGATGGAACTGTTCTATTCTGTATGGTCCAGTACAATAACCACCCACCACATAGGGTTCCCGAGCCCTTGAAATGTGGGTGGTGTGATGGAAGAACTAAATTTGTAATGTAATGTAATGAATTTAAGTTTAAATAGCCACATTTAAAGGCCACTGTGGCTAGTGAGAAATGCAAAGATAATTAAGGCCCACAACCTTGTAGATTTAACAATCAGCAGAGGAAATCGGACTATTGTCACATACTAATTTGTGCTAAGGAGCTATTTCAAGGTACGCTAACTGGGCATGATGTTTCTCTGATACCCCGGTTCTGTAATCCTTAGAGCCAGCCCAGTGGTGATCTCCGAGTGTGCGACTAAGCCCACATGCTCTGGTGTTTTGCAGTCCCCCCTCCATCAGCCCCTCAGTGCCGGGCAGAGATGTCACAAGGATCACTCATGCTGCAGCTCACCTGTCGCTGGGACGGGGGATACCCAGACCCGGACTTCCTGTGGACAGAAGAGCCAGGAGGTGTGGTCGTGGGGACGTCAAAGCTGGGGGTGGAGATGCTGAACCAGTCCCAGCTGTCAGATGGCAAGAAGTTCAAGTGTGTTGGGAGCCACATAGTGGGGCCGGAGCTGGGAGCCAGCTGTGCGGTACAGATCAGTGAGTCTGGCTTGCCTCGTCCCGGGTTGGGGTCCACCCGTCTTCATTCTGAGAGAACCGTTTGCAAGGTCTGGGAAAGAAATCCCAAGATATTGCAGTGAACTGAATTGTTTCTTCTTTTGCTTTGTGTTTCCTTCCTTTCAAACGTTAAAGATGCTTAACCAAGCTTCTTGGTTCTCATCCAAGCTGTTTTCCACTCTTGACAGATACTAATTAAGCACCTGCTATGTGTTAGGTACTGTTTCCAGGTATTGGGGATGGAGTGGTGAACAAGATGGGTGTGGTTCATTTAGTTATGTAACAAACACCCCCAGAACTAATGGCTTACAACAACACATCATTTATTTATCTTATGATTTCTGTGGGCCAGGAACTCAGACAGGGCACAGTGGGTTTGTCTTGGCTCCATGATTCCTGGGTCTTAGCTGCAAGACCTGGTTAGGAGGGTTGAAATTGTCTGAAGGATCTACTTCCAAGGTGCTCACCCACATGCGTGGCAGGTTGCTTCCTCTCCATGTGGGCCTCTCCACAGGGCCTCTTGACTGTCTTTACAATGTGGTGTTGGCTTTCCCCAGAGCAAGTGATGCAAGAGGGAGCAAGCCAGGCCGACGCTATCCTTTCTCTGAACTACCTAGCCTCAGAAGTCACATGGCATCCCGACTGCCTCTTCTGTTTGTTAGAAGTGAGTCACAGTCTGGCTCTACTTTCAAGGGGAGTGGGTGGAATTGGGCTCCACTTTTTGAAGGGAAGAGTGTCACATGATTCCTGGACGTGTATTTGGAACCACGACCACTCATCCTTCATAGATTCTTCTGTGTGGGGGTGGGGGTGAGAGGAAGACAAAGTCCAAACACAAGTAAGGTAGGCTCAGATAGTGATAGTACTTGTGAAGAGGATGAAATGGGGTGTGTGAAAGAGTCTCTTCTAGGAAGAGGGCCACTGTTCCTCAGGGGCAGGAAGGTCTCCTTGTGGCGGTAGCGTTTTGAGAAGAGACCTGAAGGATGGGAAGGAGCTGGCCGGGTGGGCTGAGTGTTCCTGGCAGAGGAAATAGCAAATGCTGAGGCCCTGAGGTGGAAATGTACCTGGTATTTGACGAACTGAGAGAAGGCCAGTGTAGCCAGAGGGCCGTGCATGAGGTATCCATGAGGCTAGATGGCTGTTGTGGGTTGAATTGTGTCTCCCCAAAAAACATCTGTTCAAGTCCTAATCCTGGCTACCTGTGGATGTGGCCATATTTGGAATAAGAGTCTTTGCAGGTGTGATGAAGTTAAGATGAGGTCATACTGGGTTACGGTGGGCTCTATTCCCGCGACTGCTATCCTTACAAGAGGGCCATTTGGACACAGACACACGGGGAGAATGCCACATGATAATGGAGGCGGGGACTGTAGTGATGCCTCTGTAAGCCCAGAATGCCCATGATGGCCGGTGACCGCCGGAAGCTAAGACAGGCATGGGATGGTGTCTCCCTCGGGAGCCTCCAAAGGAATCAAGCCTGCTGACACCTTGATTTCAGACTTCTGAGTTTTAGAGCCGTGAGAGAATGGATTTCTGTTGCTTCAGGCTACCCGGTTTGTGGTGCTTTGTGATAGCAGCCCTGGGGGTCTAATACAACCGGACGCAAGGACCAGAGAGTGTTGGGTTTTGTTGGCCGTGGGGAGGATTTTCCTCACGGCCTGTCAGGATAATTTACCTCAGAGGGGCGGCCGTGGAGCGCTGGCCTGCTGAGAAGAGAGCCTTGCTGTTCCAGGAGGTGCTTGTTGTCCCAGGCAAGTGGCATTCACATGGCTGTCCCTTCCCCACTGACTCATTCAGCAAACATGTCCCAAGTGTCTGATCTGTGTCCGGTACCTGGCTGGCCTCGGGCAACAGAAGGGACAAGGCTCACTTTCTGCATTACAACAGGGCTTGGCACACGACGGCCCATGGGCCAAATCCAGCCCAACTGGTAGTTTGCAATTTTATTTTTAATGAGATATAACTCACATAACATGAACTTCACTATTTCAAAGCGTATAATGTGGTGGTTTTACGTACATTCACAACGTTGTACTTAACCATCACCGCTGTCTACTTCCAGAACATTTCCATCACCTCACAAAGAAGCCCAACCCACTGGCGGTGACTGTGTGCGAGTACTTCGTTCCCAGGATTTCCATCGACGTGGAGTGTTACCATTAAATCATTTATTTTTTTAGACTTTATCTATTTGTTCATTAGGACGTGGCATAACTGTTTTAATTTGGGTTTCTTTGATCCTGGTGTGGTTGGCAATTTTCATATGCTTCTTGCGTCCCTATATATCATCTATGAATTAATCTGTTCATATCTTGTCCGTTTTTCTATTGGGTTCATCTTTTCCTATTATTGCCTAAGAGTACTTTATATTAACTTTATCAGTTAATTTCATAGAACTGTCGTGCCTGTCATAGGTATTCTTCTGTCCTCCTTGGCTCCTAAACTACATTTGTGCCTCATCCCTGCTGTGATCCGCAGTTTCTGATTTTGAAGGGGTCACCTCTGTCAGTCCTGCTCTTTTAGGGTTTAGGGTTTTCTTTGCCTGTTTCCAGATCATTCACATGTTGTATGTAAGCCTCGCAATAGCCTGCAGGTTAGACAGGACGTTTTGTAAGTTGCAGATGTGATACGGTGTGAACCGACTTACCCAAGATTCACCTAGCTTGTAAGTGATTGAAGCCAGCACTTCAATCCCAAGCTGGGCTGACCCCAGAACCCTTGCCTCCCTCGGGGACCCCCTTCCTTGGGACCTAGTCCAGCAAATCTTTTTGGGTAAGAGCTATGTACTTAGCGTGGCACCGGGTCCCGTGGAGGAATACCGAGTCCTGACCTTTGAAGGACTTAAAATTTACTCGGAGCGAGAAGTCCGAGAACCATGAAATAGGCAATATCAATAATAGTGACATTGACATTTACTGAGTGCAGAGCGTGCGCAAGGTGCTGTGCTCAGTGTTTTCCACACGGTCTCTTGCTTGTTCTCACAATCACCCTAGGAGCTGAGTGCTCACATCACGGATCTCTAGGGGAGACCTTACAGTTCCCTGTGTCCAACTCAGATCAGACCCCAAGGCCACACGGATGCTGCATTGGGAGCTGTCTAGGACAGACCTGTGATAGACCGACTAATGTTCCCCCTACAGAGATGTCCATGTCCTAATCCCTGTGACTTTACCCTACATGGCAAGAGAGACTTTGCAGCTGGGATTAAGATCTTGAGATGGGGAGATTATCCTGGATTATCGGGGTGAGCCCCATGTCATTACATGGGTCCTTCTAAAAGGGAGGCAGGAGGGTGGGACTCAGTAGCAGGAGACATGATGACAGATGTCAGAGGTTGGAGTGAGGCGAGGGGGGCCAGGAGCCAGGGAATGCAGGTGGCTTCGGAAAGCTGAGAGAGCGAGGAAATGGATTCCCCCCACCCCGGGGGCCTCCAAGAAGGAATGAGCTCTGCCAATACCTTGATTCCAGGCCCACAGGATCATTTCCAACTTCTGACCTCCAGAACTAGAAAAGAATAAATCTGTGTTGTTTTAAATGAGATGTTACAGCATCAATAGGAAATGAATATAGCTGCCTCATTGTCCCCTCAAGCACTCCTGGCAGGCTGTGCACCCATTCTTTGTATGAGCAACGTGGCTATGATGCATGCAAGCCTAGAGTGTAGATGAGGAATGTGGGCTACAAAAGCCTGGCAACTTGGGCTTACAAGAGTAACCAACTCGGGGCTCCTGGGTGGCTCAGTGTCAGTTGCATGTCTGACTCTTTTTTTTGATAAAGATTTTATTTATTTATTTGACAGACATAGCGAGAGCAGGAACACAAGCAGGGGGAGTGGGAGAGGGCGAGCAGGCTTCCCGCTGAGAGGGGACCCCGACTCGGAGCTCGATCCCAGGACCCCGGGATCGTGACCTGAGCTGAAGGCAGACGCTTAACGACTGAGCCACCCAGGCGCCCCGCGTGTCTGACTCTTGATTTTGGCTCAAGTCACGATCTCAGGGTTGTGAGCTCGAGCCCCACATCCAGCTCCGTGCTCAGTCGGGAGTCTGCTTGGGGTTTTCTCTTTCCTTCCTCTGCCCTTTTCCCCACGCGCACTCTTTCTCTCCCTCCCTCTCTCTCTCAAACAAATAAATAAAATCTTTAAAAAAATTTAAAAAGTAACCACTTCATCCTGGTTTGCCCAAGACTTTCTCAGTTTTCTCACTGAAAGCTCTGTGTCCTAGGAACCCCCTCAGGCTTCAGCAAACTAGGACAGTTGGTCACCCAAAATCCTAGGGGCACCACTTATTTGGTTGTGTGACTTTGAGCAAGTAACTTAACTTTCTCTGGGTCTCGGTTTCCTTATCTGCAAAATGAGGTAATAAGTTTAACAGTGCCTAGCCTATAGTAGATGCTCAATAAATGTTAGCTTTTATTATTACATGAGACCAAGTGCAGGACAGAAATTCCTGGAGTTGCTTCATCAGGAAGGTAGTAATATTCTTGAAAATCTCAGGCCATGGTTTGAGTCTCCCTGAACATTTGTCTTTCTTTACCTTCTGATCACCAGGGAGCCCCTCCCTTCTCTCTGAGCCCATGAGGACTTGCTTCGTGGGGGGCAATGTGACGCTCACCTGCCAAGTGACTGGAGCCTACCCCCCTGCCAAGATCCTGTGGCTGAGGAACCTCACCCAGCCTGAGGTGGTCCTCCAGCCCAATGGCCACTATCTCATCACGCAGAATGGCCAGATCTCCAGTCTCACCATCCTCAACTGCTCCCAGGCCCTGGATGAGGGCTACTATGTCTGTCAGGCTGAGAACCCTGTGGGGGTGCGGCAGGTGGACATCTGGCTGACCGTGAAAGGTGAGTGAGGGCAGGGGCCCCAAAGGAGGACGGTGAGAGCTTCAGAGGACCAGGCACCAGCATGGGGACAGTTTGGTTCTTCCCTATACGTGGGTCACTGCCACTGGGGAGAAGGCGTATCTGCTTGACTGTGACTTGATAAGGTGGAAAAACTATTACCCAGTCGTAAATCTCTAACATTGCATGGGGATTAAAAAAAAAAAGAATTTATGTTGGGGCACCTAGCTGGCTCCATCGGAAGAGCATGCGACTCTGGATCCCGGGGTCATGTGTTGGAACCCCACACTGGGTGTAGAGATTACTAAAATAATAATAAAATAAAACTTAAAAAAATAACTTGTTACATCCCAAAGAATATATATATTATAAATATAAAATACATAAAAAACAAAAAATGTAAGTCGTGAAGCATAATAGCAAAATGCACACCTGAGAAACTACCATCCCGCTTAAGATACAGAGGGGTGCCTACGATGCTGAAGTTATTTGTAGGTAGTGTGGCCAGATTTAGAAAATGACAACAAAGCTAAAAAAACAACAACAACAACAACAAAACCAGGATGCCCACTTGAATTTGCATTTTAGAAAAACAAAGCATTTTTTAGTGTAAGTATATCCCACATTTTCCATGGGACATACTTATTCTAAAACAGGATTCATTGTTTATCTGAAATCCAAATTAAATGGGCATGTTGTATTTTTTTCGGCCAACCCTACCTCTAGACCCCTTTCCAGTCTCATCCTGGGCCTCCTGAAAAAGGTAAGCAACTATCCTGAATTTTTTTATTCAAGAAAAATTTTACTACATAGTGAAATCCTTGCTGTTTCCACTCCACATTTTGTTCCTAGGGTTTATTCATGCCAACATGTGTAATTATACTTTGTACCTCTTCACTGCTGTAGGATTTTCTACTGTGTCATGGTTCCACAACTAAGTTACTAATTTTCCTGCTGATAGACTTTGGTATTGTTTCTGATTTTGATGTTGTTGTTGTGATGAGCAAAAGTGTTGCCATGAAAATCTTTTACCCAGCTCCTTGTGTACACATATATAGCAGGTCCCTAGGCAAATATTTCTCTAGGATATATGTAGAAGGAATAGAAAGGAAGGGTTATGCACATTTGTATCTTTCTGGGATAATAGCAAATCATTTTCCAAAGTGGTCGTACCAATTTCTATTCACAGCAGCAGTATTGAAGAGTGTTGAGTTGTTCTGCATTTTTGCCTTCAGGCTTTGTGGTTTTTGCCCATTAAGTACATGTAAAATGGAATCTTACTGTTCTGACTGGCCCTTCTGTGTTACTAAGAAGATTGAACATTATTTCATATGTTTGCTATTTGTGTTTCTTCTGTGAAATACTCACTGTGTCTTTTGACATTTTCCCCTTTCTTACAGATATGTAGGAGTTCTTTAGAAATTCTGCATACTAATTCCTTGTTAGTTTTACATGTTACAAGTATTTCCTTTTAGCTTGTTTGTCTTTTTTTGCTTTCTTTTTGGTATCCTTTGATTAGCAGACATTCTTACTTTCATGTAGTTAATTTTATGGATCTTATATCATTAGCAATTTTTACATCTCAAGAAATCTTATCTCCCCCATGGCCACAAAGATACTATCCTATACTTTCTCCTAAAAAGTTTTAACATTTTGCCTTTTACAGTTAAATCTTTAATCCATCTAGAATTGATTTTTGTGAATGGTGTGAGGTGTGGGGATTGAGTTTCTCCCCCGCCCAAATTTGGATAGCCATCGATTCTAGCACCATTCTTGAATAATTCCTCTTTTACTCACTAATCTGTCATCTATCAAATTTTCTTTTACGTGTAGTCTGTTCTTGGGTTCTCTATTCTGTTCCATTCATCACTACTGTTTATCATGGGACCAATAGCTCACCCTCTTCATTTCGGTGGCCTTATAAACAGTCTTGATGTCTGGAGATTTTAACCTTCCAGTCTTCCTTTGCATCACATGCTTTCCACAAACTGTCTGAGGTCGGGAAATGAGATATTTATCTTCTTTATAGAGAGGTCATATGCCTTGCCGGATATCATGGAACCAAAACAAAACTGAGACCCAGGCAGAGGAAGGGAGCTGTTGCTCTTTGACCAGCACGTCAAAGAATCAGTGGAATGAATCAGTAGTGTGATTTGTCAGGGCACCTGGGTGGCTCAGTCGTTAAGCGTCTGCCTTCGGCTCAGGTCATGATCCCAGGGTCCTGGGATCGAGCCCTGTGTTGGGCTCCCTGCTCAGCGGGAAGCCTGCTTCTCCCTCTCCCACTCCCCCTATTGTGTTCCCTCTCTCGCTGTGTCTCTGTCAAATAAATAAATAAAATCTTTAAAATAAATAGTGTGGGGGCGCCTGGGTGGCTCAGTTGGTTAAGCGACTGCCTTCGGCTCAGGTCCTGATCCTGGAGTCCCTGGATCGAGTCCCGCATCGGGCTCCCTGCTCAGCAGGGAGTCTGCTTCTCCCCCTGACCCTCCCCACTCTCATGCTCTCTCTCAAGTAAATAAATAAAATCTTAAAAATAAAATAAAATAAAATAAATAGTGTGATTTGTCTTTGCAGAACCTTTAAATATCGGGGGACTTGTGGGCACCATCATGAGCCTCCTGCTGCTGGGACTGGCTATCATCTCAGGGCTTATGTTATATTACAACCCCGTGTTCTGCTGGAAAGGTAAGGATTTCTTGGGTCCCTTCGTTTACCTTTGAGGCTTCTTGAAAGGGTGTGGGTGGGGGAAGGAGGCCCCGGTTGTGCTCCTACCCAAGGTCCCATTCTATAGGCTTCTTGACTGGGGCCGGATGTACAATAATGAGTCACTTAAGTACCATCCCTGAACACCCTGTCACCTGTCATGTTGGGTCAGTTTTCTCATTTCTCCGTTTCTTTTGCAAACGTTAGATTAAAAACTTTGCTGAAGTGGATGTTACTGGATATTAATTTTCTTTCCTTTCTCCCTTCAGTAGGAAGCACTTTCAGGTGAGTGTTCCTAGAATCGAGTCAAAAACCCATTTCCGTGGTCTGTCTTCCCTGCTGTTTTTGTTTTCTTTGTAAGAGCAATACTAGCAGCCGCTGTGGAGGACCCACCATGTGCCGAACACTGGGTGGAGGGGCTTCATTAGGCCTTATTGGAAACTCTTTCATAACTCTTCAGGAGGGTAGTGGCACCTCCATTTTCCAGATAAGGAGATGGACGCTCAGGGAGTTAAAATAATTTCTGCAAGCTCACCCAGGAAATGAATAGCGGCGCCTGCGTTCCGATCCAGGTCTGACTGATTCCAAAGTCTGTGCTCTTTTTGTGATGCCAGACCTCAGGGTGTAGTACCAGACCCCAGACCTCAAGCTGGGCTCTCACTGAAGCATAAAGATGGTGTGTGGGCTGTGAGCCCAGGCATGTGCGCATTTATTTTATTTAATTTCCTAAAAAGAGCTGAAAGGAAGAATAAGTCATAGTCTCACAGCATGTTTTGGAAGACTAGTCTGAGCATGCCCTCCCAAAAGGAAATCTCAGGGGGCGCCTGGGTGGCCCAGTCGGTTAAGCGTCTGACTCTTGATTTTGGCTCAGGTCATGATCTCAGGGCCATGGATTGAGCCCTAAGTCAGGCTCTGTGCTCAGCGGGGAGTCTGCTTGTCCCTGTCCCTCAGCTCCTCCCTGTGCTTGCGCACTATGTCTAAAATAAATAAATAAAATCTTAAAAAAAAAAAAAACCTCAGTAGGGACAAGGTAACTAAATGGAATTTGTGTAATCATTTCCTAAAGAGATTCTGGGTTGGAGCAAAGAAGTCTTCTCTTTGTTCCTTTTAACCAGTTTATGAAGGGATATTCCTGTTCTGGGATGATCTTTCACGGGAAAATGTTACCTTTACTGCCCTGTATTTGAGGGACATCTCCCGAGTGAGCCTTTCATTCCCCAGGCCTATTTCTCACAGGAGGAGGCAGCAAGGCATAGTGGAAAAACGCTTTGTAACTAGCAGACCTGGGCTCAGATTTGCACCTCTGCCATTTCCAAGCCCTGTGCTCTTGGAAAATCCCTGATTCTCTCTGAGCCTCTGTCTCCTCATCAGTTTTCCAGAAGGAGACTGTGAAGATTATATGAAAATGTAATGCTCCAGCACTGTCACTGGCCAGTGGCATGTGTAAGAAATGCACAGTCTGGCTGGGTAGGCAGAACCAGCAGTGAACTGGAGAATTAAATGCTAAACCGCTGGGCATGGACTCCAAGTGCAATCATGGTTCAAGGGCTTGCGGGGAGGGAGAGGACTTTATCTGGGCCTTGAATAATGAGTAGGAGGCAAAGTTTCAGTAAGTAGAGCAGAAATAAAGGGCGTTTCAGGAAAGGAACGTAGGATTCGTGTACGTGCTGTGAGGGGAACTAAAATGGTAGGTTCCTGGGACAAAGAGTCACCACCTGCCCAAGGAGCAGAGGGGAGTAATAAAACCCACCCAGGAAAATACGTGACTGTCTGTAGGAATCTGTGGCTGCATCTCTTTGAGAGATTACAATCACACCATCCTCTCTTAACTGAGGTGAACGCACAAAGAATTTTCCATGTTACAAAAGAGGTTGCCATCAATCCATTGTTTTCTATTCAGAGAGGGCTGATGTTAGGGGGAAAAAAATGGGGTATCTTCTTGATTATTTCTTCCCCTTTGGAAATTAGGGGACAAGACATGGGGGATGTCATGGTTTTGGTGGATTCAGAAGAAGAGGAGGAGGTAGAGGAGGAAGATGCCGCTGAAGAGGAGGAAGAAGAGGAAGAAGCAAATGAGAGAGAGGTATCGCCAGAAGAAATCCGTAAGCATGGCCACGTTCACAGAGTGACTGCCCTGGTGAATGGGAATGTCGACTGGATGGGCAGTGGGCTCCAGGCTCTGCAAGGTGAGCTCTTTGTCCTTCAAAGCACTCTGTTAGGCTGCACTGGGACTCCCAGTAAGAATCTCTGAGAGGTGAGTCTAGTTTTAAAGGGTGGGGAAGGTAGTTAAAGCTTCATCTAGGATCTGTCAACTCCCGACCCCACAATTAAACTGACCGACATTTATCAAGGACCTGCTCTGGGAAAGGCACAATATTGGCATTGTTGGGGGAATAAAAAAAAAAAGACCGATCATAACTGTAGGCAGGGAGCTTTCCAAGACCAGTCAGAGTGTACCGAGGAAAACTTGGGGAAACTTAAGACGGAAGCAAGATTGAGCCATCACTTTGAGAGAGCAGTAGAAGAGCTGTTGCAAGGAGGAATTTGATTATTGCCAGAGGAATGATAGGCTTAAAAATCACAGGACCTCAGGGGCACCTGGGTGGCTCAGTCGTTAAGCGTCTGCCTTCAGCTCAGGTCATGGATACCGGGGTCCTGGGATCAAGCCCCGTGTCTGGCTCCTGGCTTGACGGGGAGCCTGCTTCTCCCTCTCCCTCTGCCTCTTCCCTGCTCATGCTCTCTCTCTCTCTGTATCTCTCTGTCTCAAATGAGTAAATAAAATCTTTAAAAAAGAAATCACAGGACCTCAGAGAGAGGTGAGTGGTTCAGGGGTGCATTGGTTGGGAGACGCTTAATGGCAGAAGGAGGATATGAAGCAAGTCTTTCAGGACAGTTGAGTTTGAATAAGCAGAAAGGAGAGAGAGAGAATTCCAGGTGAGGGGACTGGCACGAACCCGGTGATGCATCAAGCAGTACCAAGCACGTCTAGAGGATCTTGAGTGAAAAGAACAGGAGAAAAGGGGAACACACACCCTGCCCCACCTGCTCCCCCGTGAATTCCCATTCTGAGGCTTACCGGTGAAGGACTAGGAAGTGCAGTGATTGAAAACGGATGGTGGAGATGGAGTGACCTCTTGTTTAGCTCACTCAGACTCGGATCTGCTTTTCCCTCCTGTCCAGACGACAGCAGTGAGGAGCAGAGTGACATCGTTCAAGAAGAAGACAGGCCAGTTTGAAGAAAGAGAACTATCCTCCGTTATCCCATCTTAAAAGCCTGGAAAGCTACGTTGAAGATGAGCTTTTCATCCTGCTTTGACTTGACTTGCACCCCTGCCTGAGGGCTGAAAATGGTTTGGGACACTCAGCAAAAAAAGAAAAACACACACACAGATTCCCTTCTCCACCCCACCCCTTTTTTTTTCTAAATTGGTTTGATTTGCTGTTAAGTTTTCTCATTGATGTTAAAACGTGTTGGGAACAGGCAGCGCGTGGCGGGGAAAGGTGCATTTGGCATCTGAGGTGCCCCCTTCACTGTGACTCTGGCTTGATCCAGGTTGACTGATGCTGATTTGGAGGGGACAAGAGTGGGGGGAAGCACCTGGCCTCCATGCACAGTGCTCCCAGTACACTCTTAGAGGTCCGTGACCAGCTTGCCCCATACACACAAGGGAATAGTGTGGGGGTGATAGGGACACCTCCTTTATCACTGCCCGGAAAGCCAGGCAGACGTCACCTCCCTGGAAAAGGTGAGGAGGTGTCCGATACTGATGGGGAGTCAAAGGGAGGCAGTTTGGCTCAGGTTTTGGGGTTGTAAACACCTAGGCTTGAACGTGGGCCCTGCTCCTTACTGGTTTCCTGGCCTTGGGCACGTTGCTTTCCTCTGCCGGGGCCTCAGTTTCCTCATCTGTAAAATAGGTGAAATCATACCTGCCTTACAGGGTATGGTGGGGACTAAATGAGGTATTGTGGAGGGGAAAGTGCTATCCAGCACGTGTTCAGTAGATGTTCTTTATCCTCTCCTCTGCCTTTCCAAGTGGAAGAAACTATGTCATCTGTAAGTTACAGGCTGCTGCCTGGGCCTCTCCTTCTTTGTAAAATGGTTTCAGAGGAAGCATTACCAGGGCTCTCCTGACGCTATTTGCTTCCCTGGAGGTGTAATTCTTTTCAAAAGAGGTAGGGGCCCCTAAGAGGAAGTGCCTTTCATTAGAACCTCTCATTTTGCAGAGCTTCATATTGATACAAAAGCCTCTTGGGTGACTCCCTAGTAGCTTGCAGATTTTCCCATTCTCCCCTTTCTCCTGTGGCTTTGAAAGAAGGCAGGAGAAATGTTTTGCAATGGAGTACCTGGTGATAAGTACTCCTTGGGCAGACTAGTTCCTCTGGCCTCCATTTCTCAATCTTGGAAATGGGGACGGGAAAACTTGTTTCCTTCCTCCTACTTAAGGAGAGTATGAGGATGCATTGATCAACAATGTAAAGTTTTGAATGAAATAACATCTGATGAGTTTAAGCTGCTGTTTCCAGATCCCTGTACAGCCCAGAGATTGTTCGTCTCTGATTTCGTCCAAATCTCTTATATGTCAGAGACCTAATAAGGGTGCAAAAGATGTGGGCTAAACATGAAAATCTGACTTGAGTTTGCACTCTTTAATGTTCATATCCCACTTGCTGGGCAAGAGCTAAGGCTTAAGGGAGAGCTTCCTTTCTCCAAATAACAGGGACTGGGACTCCGGTTAAGATGAGAAGCTGGTTGTCTGCAGCGTTCCCCTGTGGACTGCTGACAACCCACCATGGAAGATACACCAAAAGTCAGAAAATCATCCTTGCCAGGTAAAATTTATTGTGATGCAGTAAGTGCCAACTGGTAATTCTCACCGTGGGACTGACCAGGAACTGCTGCGAAGAAAAAGGTGTCACGGGGAGGAGTCTAATTTTCTTGGACGAAAAGACTGAACTGAGCAAATGACTAGGAGTGAACCCCATCCCCAGCTGAGAGCCCTGTGGATCGCAGAGGCTGGCTGCAGGTTCTTACCCCCAGCTAATCTGGGGTGTATAGCAAACTGCAGTTCTTATGTGCTGGGGCTTCTGCCGCCCAGCACTTCCTGGATGTCGCCACTCTGGACAGCCCAAGTCACTGTTTCAGAACAGGAGACTTGAGTTGCTTCTAAATCACTGAACTCTGAGTCTGTCTCCCTTTAGAATCTTCCACGATTAAATTCCTGACTTTGAGGGTTCACTCTGCAGAGGCAACCACATTAAAAAAAGAAAAAAAAAACAGGAAAAAAATTCCTAGCTAGGAACGCAGAGAATGATTTGCAAGATCACTGAGACGCTTTGCAGAACTTCTTCTCTTGCACACGCACCTGATGATAGGAAATCTTTGGGGCAAGGGTTTTCCGCTAGCAATTGGGGGCTTCGAGGTCTTGTTGCCAAACGCTCTACACCCTAGATTAGCTGAGTCACGACTTCAGTCACTCATATCTGAGCCCTGGGTCAGTTGAGAGCACAGGTATCGGCAGCCTTCAAGTTTTAAAGGATTGTTAAAGAATTAGGTCTTTCTTTTATTTTAAGATGACTCATCCCTAAAACTACAAGCATGAGACAGTGGGTTACAAACTCTCTGTGGCAAAGTCCAGGTTGTTACATTGTGCTGTTACACAATCGTATCGGAAGGTATTCTGAACTCCAAGATCCACTTACCAGAACCAGGAAGATAAATACTGAACGGCTATCACAACTGACATTTCAGAAGGAGACACTGGGGAAGGGCTCAGGCAATCCTGTGGCTTTGATATTCTAATTCTCACAAGCACATATAGGCCCTAAGACTGCAGACAACCCACCATGGAAGATACACCAAAAGTCAGAAAATCATCCTTGCCCCGTAAAATTTATTGTGATGCAGTAAGTGCCAACTGGTAATTCTCACCGTGGGACTGACCAGGAACTGCTGCGAAGAAAAATTAGATCCCTCTGCATTATCTACATGTTAATATTTGGTGTGCTGTGGGAGGGGTGGGGACAGAGAAATTTATTCTGAGGTTATAATATGAATTTTTAAAAGATTATGGAATAAAGTTATTTTTAAATAAATGCTTTAATGATCTTGATTTAGACTTGATTAGTAAACTGAAAGATTTGGAGAAATGGGTTTGCCTCCCCCAGTTTTTTTTACTAGCTTTCCCTGTGTTGGCAATGAAAACGTTCTCATTGCCATTTTATTATTATTTTTTTAATATTTTATTTATTTGACAGAGAGAGACACAGTGAGAGAGGGAACACAAGCAGGGGGAGTGGGAGAGGGAGAAGCAGGCTTCCCATCCAGCAGGGAGCCCGATGTGGGGCTCGATCCCAGGACCCTGGGATCATGACCCGAGCGGAAGGCAGACGCTTAACGACTGAGCCACCCAGGCGCCCCGCCATTTTATTCTTTATAGATACCCTCTCACTCTGAGACTCCTGCACCTTTCCTGATCTCCTTGAGAAACTTGTTCTTCCATTTTGTCCCCCTTCCCTGCCGATACCTCTTTTTGGTCAGACTGCATGCTTTCTAACATTAAAGGGTTAGGGTAGCAGTCTTCAGGGAGAACCTGGATCTGCTGCTGGGTTGGCTGAAAAGATGAATTCTATCAGCTGTCCTGTAGTTGTGGGTGGCCTTGGGAGTTCTTTACTGGGCTCAGCTAATTGTAACCCCCATAATGTCTCACGGGACCTCCCACTTTCCTGTCCTAGGCCCAGGCTAGACCGCAGTTTTTAGAGGAAGCTTCAAGTCAGTCTCCCTCTTAGGTCATTCTTCCTCCCACCCCTTTCTTTACTGCCCTCCAGTCTCGCTCCCGGCTCCCTCCTCCTTGCCCTGGCCTTGCTCCCCAGCTCTTTATCACAGCGGTTCCACCTTAACTTACATCCTTTCTAACCAAACCCATGCTTCCTACCTTAACCTCAGTGTCCCACGTTCCTTTCCACCCAGCCCCTCCCTTTGAATTTGTGTGGGTTTAATCCAAGCTGGTTTCTGAGTCCCCACTGTACCCCTGGCCTGTTTCGCTTCTCTCCCTGTTGTCCCCAACACCTCTTTGCGTGAACTTCCGTCCTCCTAGGTCACACCCATGTTTACCCAGTTTGTCCAGATGTGGACCCCCACTCTTCTTGGACTCCCCCCTTTTTTTTTGTCTGGCCCGCTGCCCCTTTCTCACCGCCCATTTTAACCTTGACATGCTCGTTTTCACCCTCCATTTTCCGCCGGGTTTGTCTTTTTCTAGTTCCCATTTTCAAAAACCGGCGGCTTACCATTCCTAACCCCTGAGCTGGGCTCCTCCACCAAAGCTCCCATTTAACCTCTGAGCTCCCGGCCTCAGCGCCCCCATTTTATTCCCCAGGCTCGTTCCTTCCCTCCCGCCTCTCACCGGCTCTGGAGTTCCCGGACCCCCTCCCCCCAATTCTCCCCTCGGCCCCCGCTTTTTGTCCCCCCCAGTTCCCTTGATCCCTGGTGTCTTCAGGTCCTCGTTCTCGAGCGACAGCCTCCCTCCCATTCGCTCCCCCCTTTTTCACCTGGTTCCCAGCCCCTCCGGCTTTCTCCCCGCCCCATCGCCCCCAGTTCTCTCATCAGTCCTCCGCTCCCTCCCCTCGGACTCCCTCAGCCCCGCTCCCCGCCGCACCCCCTTTTCTGCTTACACCTCCCGCACCCGCCCCCATCCCCCGTTGTCACCCGCCGCGGTCCTTCCGCTCCCGATTTCCCCCTCCACCCCGTTTCTCCCCCCGCTCCGTTTTCATCCCTTCCGCGCTTCTCTTCAGCCCCGCAGCCCCCGTTTTTAGTCTGCCCTGCTCACCTGCCCCCGCTTTCCCGCAGCCCCGCCCCCCGGATTGTATCCCGTCCCCGTTCACCTGCCCGCCCCCCCATTTTCCCCTCGGCCCCGCCCCCCGGTTTTGTCCCGTCCGCCCGCCCCCCGCGTTCCTCTCAGCTACAACCGTACCTCCCCGCCCCGGTTTTATCCTGTCCCCCTCCTCCCCCGCTTTCCCCGCGGTCCCCCCGCGTTTATTCTGCAACCCCCCCGCCGCCGTTTTTCCCTCGGCCCCGCCCCCCGCGCGTCCCCGCCCGCGCCCGCCGCCATGTGACGGGAAGCAGCTGATGGCCTCTCCGGGCGGCGGCGGCGGGCGCGGCGGCGGCGGCGGCGGCGGGGCCGGGGCCGGGGCCGGGGCCGGGGCGGGGGCGGGCGGCGTGGGGGCGGCATGAGGGCCGGCGCCCCGGGGGGCTGAGGCGCCCGCCGCCTGCCGCGGGGCCGCGCGCGTCCTCCATGGAGGCCGGAGGTGAGCGGGGCCGGGGCGCGCGGGTTCCCGCCGGGCGGGGCCGGGCCGGTTCTCCCGGGGGGGGGCGGGCGGGGGCGCGGGCGCGGCCGTGGGAGGGGCGCGGCGGGGGCGCGGGGGCCTGGGCCGTCCGCGCGGGCCGGCGGCGGGGGGGCGCGCCCGGCGCCCAGCTTTGTTTCACTTTCGCTGTCAGCGGCCGCCACCGCGCCTCCCGCCCGCCGCGGACAGGAGCGGAGGAGCGCGGGCCACCGCGTGCCGGGGATCCCCATGCCCCAGGACAGTGGGGGGCTCCCCCGGCCCGACGCCTACGCCCGGGGGGGCACACGGGGGTGCGCCGGGCCCTCAGGGGGCGGGTGCCCAGGTGCCAGGTGACGCACTTGCGGGTCTGGGTGGGCGTCAGGTCTGCCCCTTAGAAGCGGTGTGATCGTGCACGGGCCACTTAACCCAAGTCTGTTTTGTGTCTGCGAAATGGGATAATAATAGTACGTGCCCCAGTGGGTGGTTGGGAGCTTCCCAACTTGCTATTCGTGAGAATGGGGACTGGGTCCCTATTAAAAAAACCTATTGCGAGCCTCTCCCAACGGAGACTCATTGGGAGAGGTGGGGTGGGGTGGGGCTGGGGATGCTGATCCGGGCTGGCATATTTGATAGGGCAAGTTTAGGATACGTTGATGGGTGAGGTGCATGCCTCTGTCCTGGTTAACAGCTGTCATCAGAAAACTGTGGAAGTCTGAGAATATCGGATATACTTGGAGAGTCAGCCCAAGTGAACGTGTAATCTCGGTGTGCTTGTTAGGCAAAGGCACACCCTCCAGACTATCCCTTCGTCTCCTCCCTTCCAGCCACCTTGCCTCTAAACCCTACCTATACAGAAATTTGGGGTAGGCTTGGGATTTATTCTGGGAGTTCCTACTCTTGAATATCCCTCCATGCTTAAAGGCAGTTTCTTTAGGGAAAGTTCTCAGAAGGGGTCAAGGCCTAGGGTTCAGAATTGTTCCAGAACCTCTTGGTACTCTTCCAGTGAAGTTCAGGCTTCATCTTGCTTGGAGGATTCTGATGGTTGATGTTTGTGTTTCCCTGGCTAGTTTGATGGAGCGGGGGATTGGTGGTGGGTAGGTTCAAATCAGGGTATTCCCTGGGGTGGTGTAACTTTTTAATTTGGGAAATGACATTTCTTTGTTTGCTGTAGTCAGGCATTCGGTAAAAGGTGTAGAGGCAGCTCTCTCTGCCTTCCCATCTAGATAAGGGCTTTCTTTTCAGTGAGTGTGTTACCACTTTTTAAATGGCCCCTACTGTTTGTGTGAATCTTATGTGACTCTTTTTATAGCTTCCGCTGTTGTTTCCATTGACTCCTTATAGTTAAAACTGAAAGCGATCCGTAGCTAGCCTCCCTTTTTAGCTGGAATCTGTTTCCAGTTCTGAGTTTTTCCTAATGATTGACGACCGTGTTTTGGGGTGTGGGCAGAGCTGTTGAGAGCTGCCAAGTTGCTGTAAAAAGAAAAAAAAAGGCCAGAGACTTTTATGTTCTTTTGAAACTGAATAAAGTCCATTGTAATGGGATTACAATGGACAACAGTAGATATCTTCAGAGCAGCGGTTAGAATTCATTTATTCTTTCGACAAATATTTATTGAGTATCTACTGTGTGCCAGGCACTCTCTAGGCCAGCTCTGGCCGATAGAAATATAACGCCACATCTGTAATTTAAAATCTTCTAGTGGCTGCAGTAAAAGAAGCAAAGCAGGTGAAACCAATTTTAAAATTGTAGCTGTCAATCCAACAATGTCTAAAATATTACCATTGCAACATGTAATCACAATTATTGATATATTTTAGATTTTTTTTTTTTTTTTTTTTGGTACTAAGTTCAAAATACGGTGTGTGTTACATTCCTAACAGCCCAGCTCAGGTCGGACTTGGCATATTGCAAATGGTGGTCAAGTGTGGCTAGTGGTTAGTGTATTGGGCAGTGCAGCTCAGCTGCAGCGGGCAGAGAGGCAGGTTTGGGGTGTGGGTTGGGAAGAGCTAGACAGTAAATGTATAAAAGCAAGTAAGCAGGGGCGCCTGGGTGGCTCAGATGGTTAAGCGTCTGCCTTTGGCTCAGGTCATGATCCCGGGGTCCTGGGATCGAGTTCAGCATCGGGCTCCCTGCTAGGCGGGGAGCCTGCTTCTCTCTCTGCCTCTGCCTCTCTCTCTCTCTCTCTCTCTGACTCTCATGAATAAATAAATAAAACATTTAAAAAAAAAAAGCAAGTAAGCAATTAAGACGAGAGGAGTGAGTGGTGCCTCTAAAGAACATTGAACGGAGGGAAAGGAAAGTGACGGAGCCACTTGAGACAGTGAGGCCAGGAAGGTCTTTGAGAACGTGACATCAACCCTGAGCCCTGCCATGGTAAGATGGAGCAGTCAGATCTGCTCCAGGGATCTGCGGCCTGCCAGGCAGTTTTCTGGACCTGTGGAAGAGCCAGTGTCAAGGTGATGAGGCAGGACAAATCACCAGGCTCCCTGCTGGCTGGAGTCATTGCTTCCATCTCTGTGTTCAGGTGAATCTCCTTGCACAGAAGAAGCTGATAATAAATATCTTTCCATTCAGCCTGGTCGTCCAAATACATCCCAGTGTTTAACTAGAACACGCAGCTCCGTGGGCCTTTTCACCACAAAGGACCACGGCAGGTACGATCCCGGATGAAAGCTGGATCCTCTTGGCTCTGGTTTTTTAAGTTCTGCGCTAACTATGGCTTCTCCATCCCCCTTCCCCCGCAGCAGCCAAGTTTTGTTTGGGCCCAGACTCTGCT